ATATATATACACATTAATACATACCATACATTTATACAAATAAACAACACAAACACACATATTCGTACATATATATTGCATTCTATGGTTATAAATATAGATACACAAACATATCTACACACACACACACACACACTACCAACAAAGTCTGGCCAACTCAGCGGCATCCTGCGAGATACTGTCAGCCACTCGTAACGTATAAATACAGAAACTGTGTGATCATATATTTGAATGTTTTTGTCCTTTATTTTCTCGCTTCACTTGTGAAAAAGTATACTTGTGTGCGTATAAATTGAAACATTTCGCTACATAGGCTACGTTTTCGGAGAACAAATTTTTAAATGCCGGTAAACTACTGTCATTGGCTAGGGAAACTAAAACAGTGTTTTTATTGGATTGGTACACTACTTCGTTCCACTTTTCACTATTTTCGTAGTAAATAGGGCGTACATAGCCGCGTAGTCAGGCTGTCGGGCCGACTGGGCCGTAGCCCGGCGGGCGTAGGCTACGAACTTCATGAAGTATTTATGAAACAAACCAACAAGAGGCCTACTCCCTATTAATGTATCATCTATGTAGTGGAGTAGAGCCTGTACAAACAGTTTGTAAAAATATTTTTTTTCCCGTATTTTACTACTGATCGGAGCAGCGATATGAAAATTATCCCACTCTCAAAATGAACAGGTCAAGCTATGGTCCTTAGATGCGTTATTCTTGCGATTTTGGGCGTATCGGTGCGGCCAGCTAAGGTTGTCTGTGACAATGTTGCGCTGGCGGTTAAATCTGGCACTGCAACAGCCGCTGATAGACTTCCTATATTACGCGAGCTCTGGCTAAAAAATTTCAACAACTATATCGTTATTGGTGATGGAGATAGGCATATTGGAGATCTGCAGGTAAGTGTACTCGTTCAAAACGTAGATATGCACTCAGATTAGTGTGTACATAACTCAGTTTTAGTTTGTTACGTAATCTATCGACCATATTCCTAGCGACAAAATTCAAACTTATGCTGATACATACATAAAAAATAATACATATATGCATATATGTATGTGCACACACACACACACACACACAACACACAACAGACAGACGACGACGACGACGACGACGACGCACA